AGTATGACGTCGCCACATTTATAATCTCAAGCCGGAGAGTGCACACAGTAATATGACGTCATTGATTCTCGAGTAAACATTGAATAAACAGGAAATTTTGTCTAATCTAAATGGTTTGCGTGAAGAGTTTCTTGCATACAATTCTTCGGGTAGGGGCGAAGCCCCACCCCCCGCGTAAGAACGTCTGAGCCCCCCCCCCCCCTCCCCAACTCAAAAGAAATTTCTTCATCGATACTCTATAATAAAATTACCGCCTAATTAATGTGTCTAATCTAAAAAGTGGTTTTCTTGCAATTTCTTGAATGCAATTCTTCGGGTAGTGGCTAAGCGCGACACCAGTGTTTCTTTCAGACTTTTTCCTCCCCGGAGAGGGGTGGGGGGTACTTGAAATTTTCGGGGGCGGGGTTAGAATTTTCGGGGAGGGGGCGGACACTGGAAAAAGTATATAATTATATTTCGTTGAATGGGACGGTAGACATGTTTTTTTAGGGGTGGGAGTGGGGGGGGGGTGGTGTGTGTATGTGGTGTGTGGGGGGGGGGGGGGTGGGGGGTGGTGGTGTGTGGGGGGTGGGGGGTGGGTGTGTGTGTGTGTGGGGGGGGGGGGCGGGGGTGGTTTTAGTTTAGACTTTTTCCTCCCCGGAGAGGGGTGGGGGGGTACTTGAAATTTTCGGTGGCGGGGGTAGAATTTTCGGGAGGGGCGGACACTGGAAAAAGTATATAATTACATTTCGTTGAATGGGACGGTAGACATGTTTTTTTTGGGGGGTAGGGGGTGTTTGGGATGGGGGGTGGGGGAGGGGGTATGGTGTGTGGGGGGGGGTGGGGTGGGGGGGGGTGGTGTGGTTTTAGTTAGACTTTTTCCTCCCCGGAGAGTGGTGGGGGTACTTGAAATTTTCGGGGGCGGGGGTAGAATTTTCGGGGAGGGGGCGGACACTGGAAAAAGCATATAATTATATTCGTTGAATGGGACGGTAGACATGTTTTTTTTGGGGGTGGGGGGTGGGGGGGTGTTTGTGGGGGGGGGGGGGTGTGGGTGGGGGGTGGTGTGTGTGGGGGGGGGTGGGGGGGGGTGTGTGGGGGGTGGGTTGGTTTAGTTTAGAGAAAAGAGACAGCACTATCAGCCTAGCGCCCGTTGTAACCTTCCTCAACGGGCCATTTTTCTCGTATAATAATAGTTTCGCTGTCTGTGTATCTGTGTATCTATCTGACAAGAACGCTCTGTCTGACAAGAACGCTCTAGAGAAAACATAAGCAAAAATTCTATCTGACAAGAACGCTGTAGAGAAAACACAAGCAAAATAAAAACCTGCATAGTAATTCGAAAAACGAAGTATGACGTCGCCACATTTATAATCTCAGCCGGAGAGTGCACACAGTAATATGACGTCATTGATTCTCGAGTAAACATTGAATAAACAGGAAATTTTGTCTAATCTAAATGGTTTGCGTGAAGAGTTTCTTGCATACAATTCTTCGGGTAGGGGCGAAGCCCCACCCCCCGCGTAAGAACGTCTGAGCCCCCCCCCCCCCCTCCCCAACTCAAAAGAAATTTTTTCATCGATACTCTATAATAAAATTACCGCCTAATTAATGTGTCTAATCTAAAAAGTGGTTTTCTTGCAATTTCTTTAATGCAATTCTTTGGGTAGTGGCTAAGCGCGACACCAGTGTTTCTTTCAGACTTTTTCCTCCCTTAAGAGGGGTGGGGGGGTACTTGAAACTTTCGGGGGCGGGGGTAGAATTTTCGGGGAGGGGGCGGACACTGTAAAAAGTATATAATTATATTTCGTTGAATGGGACGGTAGACATGTTTTTTAGGGGGGGGGGGGTGTGGGGGGGTGGGGGGTGGGGTGTGTGTTGAGGGGGGGGGTGGGGTGGTTTTAGTTTAGACTTTTTCCTCCCCGGAGAGGGGTGGGGGGTACTTGAAATTTTCGGTGGCGAGGGTAGAATTTTCGGGGAGGGGGCGGTCACTGGAAAAAGTATATAATTATATTTCGTTGAATGGGACGGTAGACATGTTTTTTTTTGGGGGGGGGGGGGGGGGGGGTGGTGTGTGTGTGGGGTTTTTGGTTTTAGTTTAGAGAAAAGAGACAGCACTATCAGCCTAGCGCCCGTTGTATCCTTCCTCAACGGGCCATTTTTCTCGTATACTAATAGTTTCGCTGTCTGTCTATCTATCTGACAAGAACGCTCTGTCTGTCTATCTGACAAGGACGCTCTAGAGAAAACACAAGGAAATTAAAAACATGCATAGTAATTCGAAAAACGAAGTATGACGTCGTCACATTTAGCATAGAAAAGAAAATAATCTCAAGCCGGAGAGTGCACACAGAAACATGACGTCATTGATTCTCGAGTAAACATTGAATAAAAAGGAAATTCTGTCTAGTCTAAGTGGTTTGCGTGAAAAGTTTCTTTCATACAATTCTTTCATACAATTCTTCGGGTAGGGGCGAAGCCACACCCCCGCGTAAGAACGTCTGAGCCCCCCCCCCCCGCCCCAACTCAAAAGAAATGTCGTAGTCGATACTCTATAAAAAAAACTACCGCCTAATTAATGTGTCTAATCTAAAAAGTGGTTTTCTTGCAATTTCTTTAATGCAATTCTTCGGGTAGTGGCTAAGCGCGACACCAGTGTTTCTTTCAGACTTTTTCCTCCCCGGAGAGGGGTGGGGGTACTTGAAATTTTCGGTGGTGGGGGTAGAGACAGCACTATCAGCCTAGCGCCCGTTGTATCCTTCCTCAACGGGCCATTTTTCTCGTATATATATAGTTAGCTGAGGAAACTCAGAACCAGATGAACATTTTAATCGGAGGAATATATATATATATATATATATATATATATATATATATATATATATATATATATATATATATATATATATATATATATATATATTTAAGGGAAACAAAAATGACTCGATTTCCAGTTTTATATATATAAGGAAAAGCACAAATTTATTAAGAACTGTGCCTGGCATGGGGCGAAAGGTGTAAGAATTGTGGCAAACTAAATAATATCGCCCTGAGGTTTGGAACGAAGCAAGTAAACCATGTAAGTGAGAAAGATACAGATTGATGGTTATTGCCATCGGAAGAAGAGTGTGTATTGGTAAAAGAAGATTGAAGAGGTAAAAGAAGATTGAAGTAACGATGGTCATTAAACGAAATAAAGTGCTGTTACGTGTTGATTCAGGGGCAACTGCGAATACACGTCTAAGCAAGTATACAAAGTATACACAGATCAAGTATAAGATCAAAACTAAGCTAACATTATATGACGAGAAAAATGGCCCGTTGAGGAAGGATACATCGGGCGCTAGGCTGATAGTGCTGTCTCTTTTCTCTAAACTAAAACCACCCCACCCCCCCCCCCCCCCCACACACACACACAACCCCCCAAACCCCCCCACCCCCCCTCCAAAAAAAAAACATGTCTACCGTCCCATTCAACGAAATATAATTATATACTTTTTCCAGTGTCCGCCCCCTCCCCGAAAATTCTACCCCCGCCCCCGAAAATTTCAAGTACCCCCACCCCTCTCCGGGGAGGAAAAGTCTGAAAGAAACACTGGTGTCGCGCTTAGCCACTACCCGAAGAATTGCATTAAAGAAATTGCAAGAAAACCACTTTTTAGATTAGACACATTAATTAGACTGTAATTTTATTATAGAGTATCGATGAAGAAATTTCTTTTGAGTTGGGGAGGGGGGGGGGGGGACACAGTCGTTTTTACGCGGGGGTGGGGCTTCGCCCCACCCGAAGAATTGTATGAAAGAAACTTTTCACGCAAACCACTTAGATTAGGTACAATTTCCTTTTTATTCAATGTTTACTCGAGAATCAATGACGTCATATTACTGTGTGCACTCTCCGGCTTGATATTATTTTCTACTCTATGCTAAATGTGGCGACGTCATACTTCGTTTTTTCGAATTTCTATGCATGTTTTTAATTTTCTTGTGTTTTCTCTAGAGCGTTCTTGTCAGATAGATACATAGATAGACAGACAGCGAAACTATTAGTATTATTAATGGAAACACAATTCAGCCATAAGGAAAAGCAAGGCTGCTGGTTAAAAAAAACCCTGTTACGTGAAAGAAGTATATGGTCGATTTTGTTATTTTGAACCATAGACATCTAGCTCTCATTTTAGAAAGAAAAACATCTGACAAAATGTGATTAATTCCCGTCTGGCTTCAGTTGTGTTGTTTAATTGTGAACATACAAAATGAGGCTCTGTGTAGGCAATTGCAATGTGCATTGATTTACTTTATTACATAAAGTTACTGTGACGGCAATGTATCTATGTATCCTTATAAGATTTTTTTTTTGCTTTGTCAAATAAGGGGTGGGTGATATTTTATATTTTATGACATTTCTGGTCTAAAATAGAAAAAAAAGTGGGCATGTTGCGTTTTATATTATTAATTATCATTACATCATTTGCTATTATAGATATTGTAGTTACTTGAATACTTAGTGTTTACCGTGTAACTGATGTGGGCTCCCGGTCAAAAACCCCCTGGACATAAACCCCCTGGACATAAACCCCCCGACATAAACCCCCTGGACAAAAACCCCCTGCGACATAAACCCCCTGGACAAAAACCCCCCGCGATATAAACCCCCTGGACAAAAACCCCCCGCGATATAAACCCCCTGGACAAAAACCCCCCAATTGAGGTTTATATAAGGAAAAACCAAAGATTACGAGAAACAAAATTAATATAAAAATACAAAACAAACATTAGGAAAAAAATTTTATTTTTATTATAACTTTAAAAAGACAGATTGTGAGCGATGCCTCGCAAATACTCAATAATGGTGGACTCATTAAAATTTTTAACAACACAATTCGAGAGCTGCTATCAATATATTTTTTTTTTCTGTTTTGGTAAACAGTGACCTGAATTAATCTGTGTACAATAAACCTCTTGGAGAGATTGTTCCTTTTTAATAAAGTCAATAAATTTCCAAATATTTGGGTGGCAACATCCCATATGCGACTGAAAACTTCTGTGCCAGCCTTCAACTGAGTTGTTTGTTTTTGGCATATGGTCTTCTGCACGTGTGTGCATGTTCCAAATGTCAAGTGGAAACATAGGTTGTCTTCGACCTCGACGTTGTGGTCTGCCAATATAGTAGTCCTCAAAGTAGTCTGCAATCGGCATTGCTTCTTGGGGGAAAATTTCCAATAATTTTTCAAAGGCATAACTCATGTGTTCGATGGGAACAAAGGCCAACGCAGGTAGCATTCTGAGCTTGAGAGCAAATTCACTATCAACTTGGTAGAGTTGTTGAAGGCCAGAGTCCTGAATTTTTCTGTATATATTTTGGCTAAGATGGAAGAAACATCCTTTTACCTCACACTCTGGAAATACCCTTTCAACACTTTTTATCACAGCCATTTCAAAGTCAATCATAATAGAAATTGGTTGCAGGTTTGTGTTTAAGACCGTTAGCTGCTGTAAGAGTGCTGTGTATGTTTCCTGTGTTTTGTTTTGAAGCAAGGCATAAACACATGGAACAGTGCGTCCATTGACCAATGCATGGACTGTGTACAGTTGTGAAAACAATGCAGGAGCTGTTTTGAATGTACCATCCATAAACCAGTGCTGATTAACCTCCAATAACCTAAGGTTGTCCTTGGTTCCAAACAAAAACATCCTACCTTTTGATTTGGCACCGGAATCGAACAGAAGAAATTGTTGGCCATCTTGTGTCATTGTATATTGTTCAGGAATGATTATATCATCAACATTCCTTGGATCAGACAGTGGGTGTTTTAGCGTTTGACGTTGACGCCTGATGTTACGCCGTATGTGTGGAATCGAGGGCAGCTTAGCCTTGGCATCTTCAGTAATCGTAGTAATGGACTGAGTGATGATCTGCTGGGGTGTTGCTTCCGTTTCTTCTGCCAGTTGTTTCATCTGCTGCACTACTTTACACACTTCCAGTTGAGATGGATCTGGTCCATGCGAATGTTCATTACATCGTCCAACAAGCTGTTCACCATGAATCTTTATTTTTGCTTTGCATTCTGCCTTGTTGCGTCTTTTGGAACACTCAAATGACACAACGCCGTTCGCCAGATCTTTTTGCTTGACATAAACATAGCCTTCAAAAATCACCTTTACATTTCCTTTATTGGATTGAACAAACTCCATTCCAGAAAATATACGATTTGTCGAGAAATAAATTTGATTTTATATTTATACCATGGTTCTGTATGCCAAGGTGGATATGAACCAAGCTTCCGCCGGTGAATCCCTCACATCTTTTGAATTGTTAAGAATGTGTTGCTTTGATCCGCACGGCTCCCACATGTGGATGACCCATATCTAAGGTGTTGTCGGTGCCCGATCTTTGATCAAATACAACTAAGGTCACTCCTTGATTTCGAAAAGCATTTTTTTAGGTAGAAACTATTTTCTTAGTCGTAAAAAAATTAATTTAATGTAATTTTTTTTAAATTTCTTGGTTCACATCATCGTTATTTTTTCTTTATATAAACCTCAGTCCGGGGGTTATTATCCGGGGGGTTTATATCGCGGGGGGTATTTGTCCAGGGGGTTTATGTCGCGGGGGGTTTTTGTCCAGGGGGTTTATGTCGCGGGGGGTTTTTGTCCAGGGGGTTTATGTCGGGGGGTTTATGTCCAGGGGGTTTTTGTCCAGGGGGTTTCTGTGCGGCTGTTAATTACAGACAGCATCGTCTAAGCTTTATCTATATATATATATATATATAATTGTCTTCATTGAGCACAATAGAAAACACCAAGCTGTAAGTGCGCCTAGTAGCCCCTCTCATCCTCTCTAGGCATATCCCTACCACCCCCACCCCCAAATGGTCTGGTGAGCTGTGGTTCACGCTAGATGTTTAAAATCATAGAGCCGGGTTTAGTGACGGCTATTAGGGGCAGATAATTTAGTTTGAAACTATTTTAAACTTACGGGAGGTAATTAAGAGGAGGCTGCTTTCTCGAGGGGGGGGGGGAGCGGGTGTGTGTAGGGTGTAGGGTAGGGGTTGGGTGAAAGGAGGGTGGGGGGGGGGGGGTTATCGTCCTTATCGTCCTAGTGATAGTGGATTAAAGCAAATATTTTCAATGGCAGCATTGGTACTGTCGAATTCACAAAGTATGAATTACTGAAAAGTAGAAAATAAAACAACTAAATAGCGGCATATCTTACGCCGCTTTTCAATGGTTTTTATGTTATTTTTTAGAGTATTTTGTATTTGTTTGGGCCGAGAATATTGTATAAATTTCATAAATTACGTCTAGATAAGTAAATCTATAGATCTAAATCAAATTTTAATTAAATAGTTCATTACTTCATATTCTAAAATTGGAAGATGACGCCATTGGTTTTGTGTACTTTCCGTACTTCAAACATATGACATGTGACGTCATCGATTTCGGCGTTCTTGTCCCAGCTATAAACACTTTTCCGGTTTTATAATTAAAACTGCTTTTCTACATTCGAATGTGCCTTTGATTTTTATTTTTCTTCTTGAAAATAAAATTTTGTTTATACATTTAAAACATCTACCATATTATTTTCAACAAACTTCCGTATCAAATTCTCCATATATCGCTGAAGATTCTGATGTGATATCCTGCGAAAATATTTTGCAGACAGAGAAAGAGAAGTGCGCACATGGGCTTTTATATTTTAGGATTCTCTACATGGGGACCATCCGAGACACCACCACGTAAGGGCTTAGCCCTTCCTACCCCGCTCTCATATCACTACCACCCCCACCCCACCAGTCTGGTGAGCCGTGGTTCACCCGCAATGTTTACAATGTGACGGCAACTAGGGGAAGATAATTTAGCTTTTAAACAATTTCAAACTAATGAGAGGTAAGATGTTCTGCTTGATCTGTTTATTGTCGTCTGTAAACTGTCGTCAGAGACGGCTGCTTTCACGGGGAAAGGAGGGGGGGGGGGGTGGTGTGGAAGGCGAAGGGGAGAGAGGGAGCAGGGGGGTGAAAGGGTAGTGTCGGATTCACAAAATTATGAATTACTGAAAAGTAAAAAATAAAACAACTAAATAGCGGCGTTTGCTCACGGCTCGGGTTAGCTCGTATAATTATAATAAAGTACCAAGGTTAACCCAGACGACTTTGTTTAAATAATGTAACACATACATATGAGCGTCGCGAAGCTCTCGATTGAACCAATTGTTTGACTAACACACAAGTTAATCCTGGATTAATCGTCAATTGTGGTAACCTTCTAATATATAGATTGTAGAACGCTCTTTTAAATTAATGTAGGCTTTTGTGGTCAAAAGACAGTAATGCGCTAAATGTTGTGGTTTGACCTTAAATTAAATAGCAGTCCTGACCCACTTTACGAGACGCTTATAGGGAGCAATGGGCTCTAAAACAATCAATACTGTCGATTTGCCAAAATTTAATATTTAATTTCGGTAGAGTGCTCAGCACATACCCAAACTCTCGTGACAATCGGATTAATGGTGAAAGAATGCGTAACAATCCTCCTACACTGAGACATATGTTCCTATATATATGTATATGTATGTATATATATATATATATATATATATATATATATATATATATATATATATATATATATATATATATATATATATATATATATATATATGTGTGTGTGTGTGTATGTGTAAATAAATATTATTTCTTTAACTGACTTATCAGATGCTGGACATTGCTTCTTCAAAACAGTCAAAAAACAACAAATTTAGACAGTTTTTTTCAAAGCCAAAGGTAGGCTATTAAAATAAAAATAGTATAGACGTATGTGTACAGATTCGTAAATAACAATATATTTTGTAAAATCAGAAGTATTAGAGTAAATATAAATATGATAATTAATTTTTTTTTAACTTTTTAAACGTGATTTCGTTGTTGGAAAAAATTATTATACAACATTTTTTTTTCTTTTTAGCAGGAACCGACAAATGAAATAGATCTTCTTATTATTGGCAAAACCGGCAATGGAAAAAGTGCCACATGTAACGCCATTTTGAGAATAAATAAATTTAAAACTAATGCCAGTTGCAGCTCAGTGACTAAAGATGTCCAATGGGAGACAACAAGGTTTAAGGACACGACTATTAAGGTAGTTGACAGTCCTGGAATTGGGGACACGTCTAGCATTGACGACTTGGAACAGGCCACCATCACCGCTATTGAAAGCATGAAGAAAGCAATCACATCACACTCCAGAGGATTCCACGCATTTATTCTAGTCGTTAGGTTTGGAGTTCGTTTTACAGCTGAAGATAAAGAATGCATACGATTACTAAAACATATATTCGGACACGATTTTGTTCACCATTATTGCATTTTGCTAGTAACGCATGGTGACAGTTTCAAGGATTATCAGACTGCAGAAAATATCTCGTTTGAAGAATGGTGCAAACTTCAGGAAGGGATTTTTAAAACTCTTTTGGCCGAATGTGATAATCGCGTAGTGTTATTTAACAACGTTACATCGAACAAAGCTAAGAAAGAGGAACAGCTTGAAAAGCTTTTAGAACATGTCCACCATCTCCAGTTTGTGGGGCATCGGTATAGCATATACAATTTCGAACAATCGGAAAATTCTCGAAATTACATTGTTATTAAAGCAAAGGAATTTGTAATACAAGAAGAAATAATGAGAGAAATAAGTCTTATAATGGCGGATAAAAATGCACTATTGGAGAATACCGTAGTTAATATCAAAACTATTGTGGCGTTAAAAGAACGACTCGTTTATATTATCGAAAGATTACAAATCGAAGACAAAGGCACCAACGCCTTAGAACAAATGATTGCGCATGTTAATCACATAAAAGCAGATTTTGATTCAAGCATTCATTTCTTTGAGAAAAGGGTTATTTATGAAGAAGGAAAAAATAAAATAAATAAAATCGAACAAGAAAAAATAAGAATTGAGCAAAATTACCAACGACTACTAATTTCTCAAAGGAATGCCACAGAGCGCTACAACGCAGCAAAAATTAAAGAAGAACAATTATTAAGAGAAAATGAAACTAAAATGAGAAAAGAGATTGAAATGCGCGAACAAAAGCACCGTGAACAGTTTCGGAAAGAGCACGATATGCTTTTAAATGAAAAGTCGAAACTTGAAGAAGAATGCAAGTTAATTATTGAAAATAATCAAATAGAAGTAACAAAACGAAATGAACAGATCGAAAAACTGCGCAAAATTATTGATGAAAACAATCAAAAACTTGAAAATTTTGCTACACGGCAAAAAAATGAAATGAGCATTTTATTAGAAAGGCAAACTCAAGCAGAACAACAATATACTATGGAAAAAGATAGCTCAAAAAAAACACTAGATAAAATGCATATAGAAAAATGCAATCTAGAATCACAGCTAAAAGACATGAGAGAACATATTGATATGTTGCAACTGGAAGGAGATGTGCTTTCAAGAGATCTCGAAAAAATGAAAGAAACGCATGAAAAGGAATTGATCAAATACAAATCTATCATAGCAAACTCTGAGTTGGAGTATGCAAAGCTAAAAACGGCGTATGAAAAATATGTAACAAAGGTTTCGGAAGCTAAATCTAAAAAAGCTATGGAAAAACTAGGTCAACAATTAACAGAAACTCTGCAACAGCTTCAAAAGGAACGAAAACATCACGCTGATATTACACAAAACTACGAAACAAATATTTCTAAAATGAAACAGCAAAATCAACAGCTAGAAGAATCAATGTCAAAATTAGCTGATAAAAGTAAAGTAAAAAATTTAAAAACACCAGCACCGGCTGAAGACGTTTCCCGTTTAAAACTTTGTATTGAAATTGAGCAGCAAAAATATAAAGAAGCATGTACCCAGCATAACAAAGAAATGCAAACACTAGAATCGAAAATTTTAGAGTTACAAAATACAAGAAACAAGACATGCTCAGTTCAATAAACACAATTTTAAGGATAGGCACCACGGATAATTTTTTTTTTCATTTAACACATTTCTGGTTGTTTAATAAGTTCATATAATTATAGTTGTTAAACTATAGACAAAAATAATATATAGCCGTCAATAGCAGTACTGGTTGCCATGGAAACCGCGAAAAGGTGTGAAAACTAACACCTTTTCAAATCGCTAAGGCTTTGTTCCCATAAGAGATTTTAAAAAGCGGATGAAAGATTTAGATTTCTCACACCAAACTATACATTTCTACGTTTACTCATTGCGATAGCTTGTACTCAATTTTTAATACAAATTTTTACGTAAATTTATGTGCAAAAATTAGGGGGTGGTGTTACATAAATATCAATATTTCCTAAAGTATTGTAGTAAACTTAATGTACAAACGTAGTTTTGTAGATGGTATAATGCTGAATGCACGTCGAATATTTTATACTTGTATGACAAAGGGTTGCAAAGCCTTAGCGATTTGAATGTTGAATTTTGAGTAAAAATGCAAAGTTGAGAAAGCGTGAAAAGAAGAGCGGGAATAGGCACTGTGCGTTTCCTCTTATAGAAAACAGAAAAAACTTCTTGTTATATGTGGAAGAACCATTTGTTTAATAAAATACGCTTTGATTTATGTTGTAAGTTTTACACAGATTTTTTCTAAGTAAGCAGAAAATATGTATACAACAGATAATGAATTTATGACTATTAAGTATTACACATCCTATCAATGGAGCGGTATTCTCAGAACAGCTATCATCAAACCAGATCAAGTTTTGTTTGCTAGATGGTGTTCTAACTTCAAAACAATGTCTTTCTCTACTTAAATTGTAGTGTCAAATAAATGTGACGTTTGTGTAACAATCTACATGGGGCCTTTCGTTGCTAGCGTCCCACTTATGGGACGCTTATTGTACACTTGATATAACGAAGTAGTTACTAAAAATTGTTACTCTTAAATTTTTATCAGATAGAAATATGGTACTGCTACAAGTTTCAAATGTATTTTGCACTTAAAATGTTAATATTTTAGAAGATATGTATTTTCCTGTGCGCATGTTTTCTTTCTTCCGCCATTTTGACAAGTCCTGCAAAGCCGGCGCTATAACATTTTTCTAAATTAATTTTTTTCACAAAACACACACAAATTCAATAGTCTAACCATTTTCAAATACAATGAAACATAATTTGTGTTTTTACTAGTTTTTAATGAATTTTAGCAATTTATTTTTACAAGCGTCCTATAAGTGGGATGCTAGCAGAATATGGGTTAATACATGATCACATAGTTTGGAGAGGTGTGATCATAACGATGTACCTGCCAACAAAGAAACGTAAACGTTATGTTTGTGTTGATGATGCAATAAAAACAACAATTTTACGTTACGAACCTAAAGACCTATTCATATTTTTGAAAAATGTTTCACGTGCGTTGAACGTTGCTGTTGTATGAATACCTTTATTTTATTTGTTTTATACATTATCATTTATCATACATTTCAGGCTAAAGGAGTAAGTTTTTATTTTTTTTATTTTTACTTTTTCAAATCTAATGCTATTACAAAGATTAAGTTTAATAAATCTTTTGATGCTTTGTAAAATACTGGAGATTAAAGTTCCATAATCTCTAAAAAGAAATAGGCCTTCATAAGTACATAACAATACGTATGGTTACAAAAGGTGCGGTAAACAATTCCAAAACACGAAACCAATATTCAATTTCAGCCACTTCAAATAATGATTTATAGACTTTGTTTGCTTAATCTGTAAAACTATTTACAAAACGTCCGCTTTGTTATGAAAGTTAAAAGATAAGAACTAACATTGAAATTTATTACTGCTTGTTTTTCTGTTTTTCTAAAGCTTGGTGTCAATTGTTGTTATCGGTGATTAAAATAAAGATAAATTGTTTAACTCGAATGCAATTTGAATTGTATAAAAGCAATTAAAACATGAACAAGGGTAATGAAATTTCTACGATTTGCGTCATACAATAACATAGCCCGCAAGTAGAGGTGAAAATTTAAAAGGCAATCCATGACCTGAAAAAGAAAAGTAAATAACACGTTTTTAAAGACTTTTACACACACACACACACACACATAGGCCTACACACACATACACATACTCGTACACACATACACACAAACACGCACACACGCGCGCACGCACACACACACAAGCATGCAGGCGCGCATGCACGCACATAAGCACACACACACACACACACACACACACACATATATATATATATATATATATATATATATATATATATATATATATATATATATATATATATATATATATATAATATGGTGATCTGAACAGATAAAAGATTTAGTGCAAACATGGTTTGTATGTGTGACAAGTAAACATTCTTAGCAAATAAAATTAAGCCATATCTACAAGTAAATGTCACAAGAGCACCTATTTGTGGATCAACTGAAAGCAAATAATTAAATCCCGTTTGCTTGAACATAGATAACAACTCCTTGTTTGCAGAACAGCGTTAAGTCTGATTTGATAAACAATACCGATTGATTGTCAATAGGTTAGAGTATTTTCTTCGAAACCCCTACTTTAGTTTCAAGTATATTAATCTTCGAAACGAAAGATAATCAGTCGAATAATATACGTCTATTATGTATACCATCAAGGTTCTAAATTAGGAATAAAATGTTTAGTTTGTAATTACTGGTACCACTTTAATATATTTAAGTAGTACTAATTATGCAGATGATTTTAAAGATTTTAACAATGAAAGTTAAGTTAAATTAGCTTTGTAAAGCTACTAAAGAAAAGTGACCTTACGCAATATTATATTGTTCAAGTAAAATTCCAGGAGTTTTCCAGGACTTTTCCAGGAGTTTAAAAAAAATTCAAGGAGATTTAAAAAAAAAAGAAACCCAATTTGTACATTTTTAAAAAAGCGTACTTAATAATACATTTAATTAGCTAAGCCAATGCAAAAATTTAATTTCAGTAAAAGTAAAACAATATATTAGTTACATATTAGGATAGAGGCTATCAATCTGACTACAGACTAGTTTGAATGTTCAAAATCTGACCATAAACAAAAAAATTTATGTTTTTTTTGTCATTAAAAAAATAGCAGTTTTTTCAGACAACCGGGATAGACCCTGAAAGAGGATACATACTGGGAGGGTATGGACCAAATTTTAAAGTTTTTTACTATAAAAGAGGTATAAATGCAAGCAGACTTCACCAATTAATATCATTTCGTGATATTTTCTAGATTTTTGGATGCCAAATCCAATGATGCTAGGCTAGTCGGCCAGCCCTATGAACGTGTCAGACGAATATTATGTAATTTCAGAACAAAAGTCTGGCAAGATTTCTTGATCTATGCCCCAGGATTAGTAACATCAACTCCACAAAGTGAAGGGGGAAGGGAGGTGGGTTATGAAACCACCACGACCTGGGCGGGTACCGTACGGGTGTTATACAACATCAAAGGCGACGGTCGTCGGCTTGTCGCGTCACGGCGTAGTGGGGGCGGTTTGAGGCTATGGATGTTACGTTGGGTGTTACATACCGTGTAGGATGGTCAGTGTCTTCCTCCACCCACCCCAGCCCATGTTGGTCGATTTGGCAAGCTAGTATTAAGCGTATAAACAATTTTTAGTCAACCGAAAAAATGAGCCACTGGAAAAATTTATTTTCTATAGCCATTTTCACGAAAAATTAATGTATAAAATAAAATAATGAAACGTTACGCGAATGACATAGCCCGCAAGTAGAGGTGAAAATTTAAAAGGCAATCCATGACCTGAAAAAGAAAAGTAAATAACACGTTTTTAAAGACTTTTACACACACACACACATAGGCCTACACACACATACACATACTCGTACACACATACACACAAACAAGCACACACGCGCGCACGCACACACACACAAGCATGCAGGCGCGCATGCACGCACATAAGCACACACACACACACACATATATATATATATATATATATATATATATATATATATATATATATATATATATATATATATATATATATAATATGGTGATCTGAACAGATAAAAGATTTAGTGCAAACATGGTTTGTATGTGTGACAAGTAAACATTCTTAGCAAATAAAATTAAGCCATATCTACAAGTAAATGTCACAAGAGCACCTATTTGTGGATCAACTGAAAGCAAATAATTAAATCCCGTTTGCTTGAACATAGATAACAACTCCTTGTTTGCAGAACAGCGTTAAGTCTGATTTGATAAACAATACCGATTGATTGTCAATAGGTTAGAGTATTTTCTTCGAAACCCCTACTTTAGTTTCAAGTATATTAATCTTCGAAACGAAAGAAAGTCAGTCGAATAATATACGTCTATTATGTATACCATCAAGGTTCTAAATTAGGAATAAAATGTTTAGTTTGTAATTACGGGTACCACTTTAATATATTTAAGTAGTACTAATTATGCAGATGATTTTAAAGATTTTAACGATGAAAGTTAAGTTAAATTAGCTTTGTAAGGCTACTAAAGAAAAGTGACCTTACGCAATATTATATTGTTCAAGTAAAATTCCAGGAGTTTTCCAGGACTTTTCCAGGAGTTTAAAAAAATTCAAGGAGATTTAAAAAAAAAAGAAACCCAATTTGTACATTTTTAAAAAAGCGTACTTAATAATACATTTAATTAGCTAAGCCAATGCAAAAATTTAATTTCAGTAAAAGTAAAACAATATATTAGTTACATATTAGGATAGAGGCTATCAATCTGACTACAGACTAATTTGAATGTTCAAAATCTGACCATAAACAAAAAAGTTATGTTTTTTTTTGTCATTAAAAATAGCAGTTTTTTCAGACAACCGGGATAGAACCTGAAAGAGGATACATACTGGGAGGGTATGGACCAAATTTTAAAGTTTTTCACTATAAAAGAGGTATAAATGCAAGCAGACTTCACCAATTAATATCATTTCGTGATATTTTCTGGATTTTTGGATGCC